GGCGTCTCACATGTTTCCATTCTTCCTGCTCACGTACAATCAGTCAAATAGTCGGCTGAGAAGAACGTTTAGGAAGACCATGCTCCCGCATCCGAGACCTTGGCCACTTTTGCTCCTGCGAGAGCTTGTGAAACCCCGACCTCTAACCAAGACTCGTCCCCACTGCCAAAAGGCAGCCTCATCAGGACTGAGACTGGACAGGAGTGTTGAAACCCACATCAATGCCCCATAGAGAGTGTAAGCCAAGAAGACACCAGGACGAGCCCCAGCCAGGGCAGATGGACGGTGAGGGCATCCAGAATCGGAGATGCTGATGAGTAAAGACTTCACGGGAACGTGTCTATACTTAAGGGCCGCTTTCTTGCCTTTAAGGACGTAACAACGTGCAAGCCCTGCTTTCTAAGGTGGTTTCAATGGAAAATATTCTGATTCATGTCTTCATATTGACAGACCACGTGTCCTGACTTTTACTGGAGGAAAATTTGTCACTTTATTGAAGTGTGACATTTCTGATGAATTTGTTCTTGAAAGGTCTCCACACCTTTCTCTTGATCTAACAATGAGTTTTAGAACTTGGCCATCCTTAGTCCAAAGCTCTTCCTCATAGCTACCCCAAAGCCCACCGGCTAAAGTTTAAACTGGAGTTCAGTTTTGATGACACGTCTTAAAAGAAAGAACCAACAACATGTTTGTAATGACTGCCTTTCAGGACCCAGTTCTATAAAACTTCTCCCTTCCTGTCATTGTCTGCATTAGCTAACAGGTCGATGAATTCCCATTTCCCGGGAACATCCTGACCCCACGGTTAGGAAGATGGCCAGGCTGGCTGGGGTGACCCGGGGAAGCTGATCTACGCTTTGCAACTGGACTTGGACAATCCATCAACGTTTATTAGTGTTTGGCTTGAGTAGAATGGAGAACTGAGAGTCATTTCCTCTTGCACTCTTCTCCGTGGAAAGGAGAAACAGCTGGCTCTCCTTGTAAGAACATAGCCTCACCCCAGCTTCAACTCCAGCGCATTCTTGGAGGAGCTGTCCTGGACCTCTCTCGTTCAAAGTGAGAGGGAGCTCAGCCCTCCAACCTGCTGGAGAAATCCTGACCGAGGGCCGTTCACGGGCAGCTCCTCACAGTGCCCTGTGCCCTCCAGCCTGGCACTCACTCGTCCATCATTTATCACTGTATTATTGCGAAATTTTCACAATAATAGGAATAATAATGCACCAGATTCTGTACTAATGACGCCGTTAGCATTATCTATGTCCTCCCAACCGCCTGAGGCTGATGCTATTATTATACCATTTTATACAAGAAAAAAGAGACTTAGAAAAATGAAGTAACTTGCCCAAGGTCACACAGCTAGTCTAATCTTGATCCCCAGCCTCTCTGAATCCAGAAGCAATTCTCTTAACAAGTTAAAAACTTCTGTTGCACCTAGCACAGATCTTTGTGCACATAGTAGGGCTGTCGCAATTTATTGAAAAATGGGCTTGAGAGCAACTTAGCCTTCTCTCCTTCCATGGTCTTCCCTACCTTCCTACCGTCCTGTGCCCCACCTCAGGCACACAACCCCCCATGCTCATGCCTCCACCCTGCTGAGTTCACCGCTCTATTCTGAGAACAGTTCTTCCAAAAGAAAAAAGAAGAGAAAGCAAAAATTGAAACCCCATTGTCTGTTGGAATGTAACCAGAAAGTGGAGTGTCTGTTGGGATTTTCATGATCGAAATAAGGGCAGCCGTGTGATTTCCACAGAGGCACGTGCAGATGTGGACACATGTGCAGATCAGCTCACTTCACTCAACTTGGGATGACAGGTCACGTACACGCCTGGGATGTGGCTCACGTGCTCAGTGACCCCCTGGGTGTCTGTGATGAGAAAGCCGTCTCCATTCTAACCACCATCCTACAGAAGGCCAGAGGACAGGACGCACAGAACACGGGGGATCAAAGCTCTGGGCTTTGACAGCTTTGACTTATTCTGGGCTGAATTCACATCCAGGCCATCAGTTTCAAACCCCAATCACATGTATTTCTCACCAGCCTGAAAATTGCTCCAAACAGAGAGAGGAACAGCCAGCAGCCTCCCTAAAGCTGACACTGGAAGGAGGGCTGGGGGAGCGTCGTGCCCCTCAGAGGGGCGTCAAGAATCACAGCACACAATGAGACGGGGTCCCAGAGGCTGCACGGAAGGAAGGATGGCAGAAAGCAAGATCAGGACCATTGGCTTATCCTGTCTTCCAACCTAAAACCTCCCTCTCTGGCACTACAATACGGTGCAGAGACGATGGGTGTTGTGGACTGAATTGTGCCTGCCCCCTCCCCCAAATCCACATGCTGAAGCTCTAGCCCCCAATGTGATGGTATTTGGAGATGGGCCTTTGGGTGGTAATTAGGTGTCCAGGAGGTCACAAAGGTGGCACCCTCATGATGGCATTAGTGTCCTTATGCAAAGGGACACCAGAAAGCTGGCTCTCTCCCCCTGGGGTACACAAAGAAGAGGCCACGTGAGGACTCAGCAAGACGGCGGCCAGGAAGAGGGGTCTCGGCAGGAACCGAATCTGCGAGCACCTTGATCCTGGACTTCCCGGCTTCCAGAACAATGAGAAATAAATGTCTGCTCTCTAACCACCCAGGACACGGTATTTGTTCAGGCAGCCTGAGCTGAGTAACACAGGTGTCTAAGTGATGCGGGAGTTAAAACCCTGACTTCACCATTCATCGCCGTGGGACCCTGGACAAGTTACTTCATTTCTCTTATCCACAATTCTGTAGATAAACTACGGAGAGCATGGCCGCCTCACAGGGCTCTGAGGAGGACTGGATGTGTCGACACATGTGCACACTGCCTGGTGCTTCTGGCACCTCCTTGCACACCAGCTCCCTTGCCCCAGCTCGTGTGGCCTGAGCGCTGGAACCCAGGAGGCCACACGCACTGTCAGCGAGGCCTCCCCCCCAACACCCCCTCCGTCCCCACATGCCACAGCGGATCTTGTAAACGGGTAGCCTGTTGATCAATTTCAGCCCACAGATGTGTTTTGTTTGGCCTATACCAATGTTTGGGGAAATCTGGGTTATTTATGAACATTGAAAAGCCAGGAAATTTCACATAAAAATTTCAATTTCCGGTTGTTCTTGAGAAATAAAATGATTTGTCCCCAGACCTGTGCTCTGCCAGGGTAACCCCCTTTCGACAGGGTGAGCTCTCACCTGGGTGCACGCGGGCCGGCCTTACCCATCTAGAAGACCTGAGTTCACAGCCCCGGGGCTAACACGGCTGGTGAATCGGGCACGGCCTGTACAATTCCTAGCTGCCCACAAACAAAGATTCTAAGCACAATTTCAGGATCAGTCTCCCGATGTGAGGAACAATTAGCACATTGCTGACTCACTGTTTTATTATTTATGCTTCTATTGTGAGCTAAAGAACCCTCACGGAGAGGCCAGGATCGTAGTCCTTGCAGTCCAATTGAGCTCTTATAACTCAGGGGTTGGCTGACCCAGGCTTGCCCCTGACACCCTACTTCTTGGGGCCTCAGTTTCCTCCTCTGCAAAAGGAGGGGGCCTTGGGCTAGCTGCTCCGTATTGCCTCTTTCCCTATTTGTGTAATTATTATGTGAAATTCAAGTGCACGGGTAGAAATGTAACACAACTCTGTTTACTTCTGAGCTTGAAAGGTTTGAATGAAAGCAGAGCTCTTAGAACACCTCCTTGACCCTTAACACAGGTCAGAACTCAGTGTAAACAGGACCCGAATAATGGCCTTGTTTATTGTTCTGCCCACTCCAGGGCTGGGTTGTTAGCCTTGATGTTCTACACTTAACACACCAGAGAGGAATGAACACCAGGGTATTAAAAGACCGGATGTTTGACCTCATGTCCCCAGGAGACCCTGGTGCTTGGGGCCCTGCCTGTCCCTCTGCCCTCATTCCACCAAAATACACACCCAGCCACACCACCACCCAACCTCCAGTGTTCTATGCACGTGGGCCTTCTTTCAGTTCCTTGCTCATTGCCACCACAGGACCTTTGCACCTGCAGTTTCCACCACCTGGAGCCCTCTCCACCGGGTTAATTCCCACTGATGCTTCAGATCACAGCACAAGCATCACAGCCACCATTCCTGTCCTTGGCAAGATCACGTCCTACTCCCATATGCTTTCATCATATCAGCTGTGGTGCAGCAGCTGTCACAGTAGCACTTTCACATTTTACACGTGTGAGCAGTTGACTGATGATGATCTCCCCAACTGGATGTAAATTCCAGGAGGATAGGGTCCATGTCTGTCTTTGCTCATGCTTGTCTCTCCAGCGCCTGGCCAATAGGGAGGCACTCAAATACTTGATGAATGACTGAATGAATGAATGAAGAGCTGACACTGCTGGGAAGATTCTGGAAGGCAAACTCCTCAAGGACCGCATCTTATTGAGGGTTGCATCACCTAAACTTACTGACAATGATGCTAAGAGCTACAAGGATCAAGTACTTGGTGGGTTCCAACCCTGTTCTAACAGATTATTTATATAATAACTCAATTTAATCTTCACAAGAATCCTGTGGAAGTAGGCACATTTCCTATCCCTGTGTCACATAAGAGGAAACTGAGGCACAAAGACGCTGGTAAATCACTTAGGAAGAGGGAGCCCAGCAATAAAACCCCAAGCAGTCTGGTTCTAACCACTAGGAAACCTTACCTAATCTGGGGCCTAAAGGTTCAGCAGGACACAAGCAGTGTTTACAGAATAAATGACAGTGACATCTCTCAACCCTCTGCCCCTGCGCCCCACCCCCAACCCTATGGAACGAACAAAGGGATGCACCTCTCTGGAGCAGAAGCCCAGACGGACAGAGTCTCAGAACTTAACAGCCATAAGAGCCACATAAGAGCCGGCAGAAGGAGCAACAAGAACCAAGCAGAAAACAAGACTTAGGGTCAGGCCCTGGTCGGGTGGCCCCTCAGTCCCACTCAGGCCCACGGGGACGCCCGGCCTGGCCTGCACGTACCTGATGTTTTCATTCAGCACGTACAGCTCATTGCTCTGCAGGCCGCCCCCCTTGAAGACGTTGATCACGGCAGTCTGGACGCTGCAGGGAAGCAGAAACGAGCCTGGTGAGAGGCCTGCCTCCCGGGGCCGCTCAACAAACAGCTCGGGGCGGAAGGCGGGCGCGAGGGCCAGGAAGCCCGTGGCACAAACACAGCCACGTTTTCCATCCCTGGACTCCACCATTTCCTTCCCAGGGTCCTCAGAGAGGAAGGAAGACTGAAGCCAAAAGGACCCCCAGGCGGCCCCTCTCCCCGCCCTTTCCCGCAGGCCACCAGTCTCCCCCCTCGCCTCTCAGGCAGCCCCACTGGGGAGCAGCAGGAACAAAGGGCGGGCAGTGGGACCCGCTGCCAGGAGACTGCCGGGCAGCACCACTGGGGCTGGAGGGAGCCAAGGTGGCGTTTACTGCAAGCAGAGGCCGACCTCTGCGGTCCCTTCACCCAGGAGGCCTCTGTCTCCACAGGGCAGCAGGGCTAAAATGGAATGAGAATTCCCCGCCATTCTGAGAGCACTTTCCTCAGAACTTCGAGGGCTGGCTTCCGTGTGCCCTCCCTTCCCAGCCCGGCGAGGTGCACTGGCAGGAGAGCTGGTCCCGGGGGGACGGACGGGTGAGCCTTGCTCCACGTTCCCGGGAGCCCAGTCCAGCACTTCAGCAAGGAGCTGATTACAGTCTTGCCTTTACCAAGCATCCCAGGCCTTTCTCAAGGAACACGGATCCATTCAACCAAAACATTTCGGAGCCCTCCTCTCCACCCCCATCAGGAGAGCTGTGCATTCATTGAGAAAATCCCTAACGATTCCAACCACAAAGAAGTCGGTAATGCTTTAAAATAATGAGGCACTTAATTTATTCAAAGAGCTTAGCAGGGATTTGAAAAATAGGGGCCCACAGAAACGCAAGAGGTAGGATTGATTCAGACCCTGCTCCATGCTTGATGTACAAGGTCAGCTCAGCACCTCACAAAGCTCAGTGTCTCCTCCCCCAGCCCTCTGTGGCTCCCAAGTGCTGACAATCCCCGGCTTATGCCGCTAAGGAGCAGTGTATTTGCACAGACACGTGTCTCATCTTCCCAGATAGGCAACAGGTCCTTGAGGTTACTTGCACGGCTTCACCCTCAGGTGCCATCCAGGCTGCTTAACTGACTGAGAGCCCAGAGGCCCCAGGGGTCCACCGTCCCTCTGCTCAGACAAGGGAAGCGAACGGACGCATTCTGGAAGGAGCGGAGCTCTCCGCGTCCAGCGCCCGTTTCATCACGACCTTCTGGAGCAGAGTCTGGATGCGGCAGAAGCTGAGCCCAGTCCTCAGGGCAGCCCCCCGGGCCCCGCCACCCTTACCTGTTCCAGGCGGAGCTGGAGCTCAGCTGCAGGGCCTGCCGGGCGGCGTGGAAGCGGGGCAGGTCGCTGAGCACCGGGGAGCTCATGAAGCGGGGCCTGGGCCTGCGGAAGGAGCCCATCTTGTGGAACTCGGCAGGCAGGCTGGGCGCAAAGCCGCGGGTCATAAGTCCAGGTGAGGGGACAGCTTCTCCCCTGGACCACAAGGCTCCGACTGCCCACGAGAGGGGCTTCTCCCAGGGCCGCCTCCTGGCCCTCAGGCTGGCTTAAAACCACAGGTGTGGCCGACACCTGAAAAGAGAGGGCAGCTTTTATTGCGAACGCCTGGGCTGAGCAGACCACGTCGGGGAGGAAGGTGGCTGGACTTTCCAACCAGACCATCCTAAAGCAACTCCAGGGACACACGGTCATGTCTACACTCTACAGGTTCCATTCACAAGGTTTTGCCGGTCTCTTTTGGTCTAAACAGGGTGGTCATCTCAGGTGGGAAGGCAGTGACAACGGGTCGGGTTGAGGCCGCTCCCGCAGAGGAGTGGTTTCCAAGCTGTGTTTGGCTGCGGCTCCCATGCACGCCCACCGAAGTCGGGGCCCCGGGGGGTTTTGGTAGACCCCGCAACATTGTGCACTAAAAGATGGCTTTTTAAAAAGATGCCTCAAGGAGAACACAAGAGCTCCTTGTCCAGGCACTGAAGACCTTCCATGATACATCCTCAGCGTGCCAGCCCGTGTACCGCTCAGCATTCCCCAAGCATCAGAGCCTCCTCAGCAGCACAGCTCACCAACCCCGCCCTGACGCTCGTTCATTCATTCATTCCATCAGGACGTATTTACTGAGTGTCTGCTACTTATGAAGCACTGGGAGCTGTGGAGCATGCAATGATTTCTAAGACCTGGTCCTTGCCCTCAAGCGGCTGCCCGTCTATGGAGACGATAACTTGTCTGTTCGTGTGTTTATACCCACAATAAACATTTATTGAGCACCGACCGTGTACCAGGCACTCACTCAGGCACTGGGACTTGACAGTGGCCTGGAGAATGTGGTCGCTGCCCATGGAGCTTACAACCAGCATCCTGTATGGATCGACTGTATCCACGGCTCCTCTTGCCCAGAATTCCCTTCCTTCTCTCTGCTTATCTAACTTCCCCTGCAGGTCGGGTTCAAGGACACTGTCCCCTGGGTGGTTCCTGGGAGGCTTTATGGCTTCATAGTTAAAGGCAGTGGCTTTGGGGTGAACCCGGGTTTGACGCTTCATGAGGCCACTCCCCGGCTGTGTGACTTTGGGCACAATGAGTCAGAGTCCTCAGCTGTCAGCCCCCCAGGACTGGTGAGAGATGGCATGAGTCGTGTGACACACCCAGCAGAACGGCTGACCCGTGGCCCTCAGGTGTGGTCTCTGTCCATTCAGAGCCGCCGCTGTCTCTCCTCGGCACTCGGGCCTGTCGTGTCAGTCTCCTACTGTTTAGCGAGCCTCAAGTCTAAACCAACGACTTAAAGTGAGTTTCGGAGCTGGTCAGAGTGAAGGATGGAAGAAACACCACCCAGGTTATAGCCGCTTTTCTCTTGAGGGTTTAGGGTTTAGCCCGGAAGTGCGCCCCTGCCACCTCTCTCACCAGCTGGCCCTGCTGAGTCCTGCAGACCAATGCTGAAAGGAAAGGAGATGGTCCAGCTGCCAATGCCACCTTCAGGCTGGGGGAAGGTGTGCAGCCCCAGCTGCAGCGTCTGAAGGAGGAGGAGCCCGGGTGGGAAGAGGGGAGAGGCTGCGGGGCGGCACGAGGCCATCCGCCGAGAGGGCACGGGCCCACAGCAGCTCTCTAGACAACGGCCACAGGGACAGCGAACTTGGAAGAGCAAGAGGCAAGAAAGGAACGGCTTATCCTACCTCTTAATCCTTTTTAACGGAAAGCAGACTTGTGGGCCATTTTCTTTCACAGTCTCCTGTGTCTCCACCCCACTCTCAGGACGAGCCGACAGCCCCTAGAGCTCATCAGGCGATGCTGGTCATACAGGCTGCTCGGTTTCAGAGTCCCAGTAACTCTGCAAGCACTGCCGGCATTCGGAAAGATCTATGCCGATAACGAAGGAGGCGCAGAAGAAACAGAACCCCGGGAGGCCCTTCAGGACCCTCCGACTGTCTGGCTTTGGGATTTAACTCACTGGGTAAAGGTCACACTGTTGAGAGAACCCATTTCGTGCCCTTCCTTAAACGGGGCTGCTAAGTGCAATCCATCTGTGTAATTATAGGGCATTAACTCCCTTTATGAGGAGATTAGACTGGAGGCGAGGGAGCGGCCTCCCACTCCACGGCACCTGCACAGGGAGCAGCCAGGTGCGCAGGAGGATCATTCCAGGCCTTTGCCTTCCGGCTGCCTGCCGAGACCACCTCTCCTCCAGGAGGCTGTGCGACGCGGAGGACCTGGGACGGCTCCTGTCCCTCCCCTTCAGCGCCCCCTCCACACACACCCCGGGCCCCCACTCCAGGAGAGTGCGCATCCAGCGGGGCACACGGGCAGCCCCATCCCAATACTCGACCTCTTTCAGTCCCGCAGCCGCATCCGCTGCAGAGCAACACACAAACGAGTTCCCTCTAACGCATTTTTCACCTGCAAACCCGCCACCCTCAGGTCGCGACAGGCTGGAGAAGCAGAGCCGTCTGTTGCTACTGGTCCTCCTCCCGGATGGCCACGCAGAGCACACGGAAGGAAGCTGCTGGCAGCACTGACAAGATACGTACCCCTGTGTCCACCTGCCTCGGGGCTGGTCCCGCAGGCACAGGCTCATCCTCACCAAATAGGACAAATCAGAAAATGGCTAGACAGACAGGGCCTTGGGGAGGAGCCAGTCCTGCCCGGTCTACAGGTGGTGAAAGTGAAGCCCAGAGGAGCAGAGAAACTTGTCTGATGTCTCTGGGGTAGGAGAGAGCCAGCACTGGCTAGAACTCAGGTTCCCTGACTCCTGATCTAGAAAGTTCCCCAGGCCCCACCTAGGCCTTCTGTGAACTCCTTCAAGACAGGCATTGGGACTTACCTCGGTATCCTCAAGCTAAGCTCTCTACTCAAGATAAAGATGAAGAAAAGTATAGCGACTAGTAAGGCATCCACTGCCTGCCTCATGTGATGACAAGCACTGTCAGTAGGGAAACTTACTCAACACTCACAAACCCCATTTGATGATCAGAGAAGTTAAGTAACCTGCCAGAAATCACCCAGCTAAAAAGGGAAAAATCCTTGACCGGTGCCCAGATTGGCCTAATTCTACAGCCTATTCCCACTTTGCCATGCTACTAAGCTCAGCCTGAAAATCAGAATCAAAACTACCAAGTTAATCAGAAACATCCAGTCACGAAATTTCATATCAAGATTTAAATCCATGCCCCTGAGATAGAGAACCAGACATAAGGAACTTACAACCACATCTGATGGGGGCAAGCGGAGCAGTGAGGAGCAAGGATAAAAGCAGAAAGCACAGACTGCCTTATTAGATGCCCCACTCCTTACTAGCTGTGTGACCCTGGGCAAGTGCCTTGACCTCTCTGAGGCTCGACTTCCTCCTGCAAGAAATGAACAGGCTAACAGTGACAATCTTGGGGTCGTATGAGGATAAAATGAGTAATAAAATGAGGACATATTTGTAACGCACTTAACAGGACAGTGTGCGGCAAACAGCAAACATACGTAAGTGCCTGTTAAATAAATAAAATAACTTGTTATTTCTAAATCTCCAACCAATGACAGCAGTGGGAAGAGGGCGACACTTCTTCCTGTTCATAGCGACCTCAGCAACATCTAGAAACTACTCCCCTCGGGGGTAGGCAAGGCCTCGGGGCCCTGGCGGGGGTCACTTGGGGCATTTACTGACGCTTCTCCTCCGTGAAGTGTGCTCCTCAGTCTCAAAGAGCTCCTCCAACATCGTCACACGGGGAAATCCCGCCCTATGGGGCAGGCCGAGCAGCGACTCTGTTGGACTCGGAAACCAAGGCTCCGCCAGGCTGAGCGACTCGGCCGAGGCTGGACAGCTCTGGGCCAGGGAGCCAGCCCCAGCCCCAGGGCGTCCAACCTCAAGCCCAGCCGCCACCCGTGCCCTGCCAGGAAATGCTTTTATTTTTTACCCCGTATATTTTTAAACATTTTCATTATGAAACATCCTTAAAAAGGAGTTTAGGGGCCGGCCCGGTGGTGCAGCAGTTAAGTGCGCACGTTCCGCTTCTCGGCGGCCCGGGGTTCGCCGGTTCGGCTCCCGGGTGTGGACATGGCACCGCTTGGCACTCCATGCTGTGGTAGGCGTCCCACATATAAAGTAGAGGAAGGTGGGCACGGATGTTAGCTCAGGGCCAGTCTTCCTCAGCAAAAAGAGGAGGATTGGCAGCAGTTAGCTCAGGGCTACTCTTCCTCAAAAAAAAAAAAAAGGAGTTTATACACACAAACACACACATCTTAAAAATGATAATAAACTGCCACTTGCTTAAGAAATGTACGTCACCTTGGAACTCCCACGTTTGTATCTTTCTGATAATAGGATACCTCCTTATTCACTATTAAAAATGTAAACATTACGTAAATCCATAACATAGGAAAGGGAAGGCCTCCCTCCGGCCACTTAGCAGCATTGAGAAGTCCTGTCTGAGCTTTCTGAGACGACGGAAATACTCCACACCCTGCTGTCTAGGGGGGCAGCCCCCAGCCACACGAGGCTACAGAGTGCTTGCGGCCAGTGTGGCTGAGGAGCTGGGTTTTAACTTAGTTTAACTTTTAATAGCCGTACACATGTGCACACACAATCTATTAATAAAAACGGGTCATTTGTTCTTTCCTCTCACTACGTCATGGTCGTCTTCCCCTATCATTACAGATGGATCCACTTCATTATTTTTAACGATTTCTCAACTGGTCCGTTTAGGGGATCCCATACTTGATCTAACTAGCCCCCTGTGGACGGGTATTTCCAAAGCTTCTAGGTTTTTGTTGCTGCAAAGGATGAGCGCATCCCTGCCAGTCGAAGGGACGCAGGACCGTCCCTGTCGGGGGCACTCTCAGAAGTGGCCCCACTGGGTCAAAGGGCCCGTAACTCTCAGCTGCCCCCTGTGATTAGCGCCCACCCCCACCGCAGCCCAGGGCTGCAGGAAAGGAGTTGAGGGGCATCTGCCTGTGGCCCCGAAGGACAAGCGGCCACGAGAGGCTCTGGAATCAGACACAGCCTGGCATCGATGCTCATTCTGCTGCTCACTGACAGCGGGAGGCAGAAAAACTGGCCCCACAGAAAGAGTCACTTCCTCGTCCTCAGAATCTGCGAGTGTTAGCTCAGACGGCACCAGATGCAGTTAAGTGAGGGGTCTGGAGAGGAGGGGCTCATCCTGGGTGATCCAGGTGGGCCCAGAAATACAATTACGTGTCTCCTTGTAAGAGGGATGCAGGAGACTGGAGACAGAAGACGGGGGACACAGGTACACACAGGGGAGAAGATGATGGGAAGCTGGAGGCAGAGGCTGGAGAGACACCGCCACCAGCCAAGGCACGCTGGCAGCCACAAGAAGCAGCTCGAAGGGCAAAGAAACAGATGCTCCCCCAGAGCCTCTGGCGGGAGGACAGCCCCGTGACACCTTGACTCTGGACTTCTGACCTCCGGGCCCCTGAGAGGATGAGTGCTGCTGTTTTAAGCCACGAGGGTTGCAAGAATTTGTGACTGCAGCACGAGAAATGAATGCATTCACCGTACGGCCCTGGACCACTCTGAACCGCAGTCTCTACGTCTGAAAAGCAGGAACAGGAAGAACTACCCGGGGATGCTGTTGTCATGGCGAGAAAGATTACCTAGGAAGCGTCTGGCACAGTTCCTAGAACCATACAGGAGCCGGACACAGGTGCAGTGGAGGGTCAGAGCAAGGGCACCAGGGCAGGCCTGGGTCACATCTTACCATGTGACCCAGCAGGGGACCGAGGATGGGTATGAGAGTTGGTTGAGATGATTCAAGCAAGGCTTAAAACAGTCCTGGTACGCACGGTGAGGTTTTGACAAATGCAACCTATTGTGTGTTGTGGGGTTTTTTTTTGCTGAGGAAGATTCGCCCTGAGCTGACATCCACTGCCAATCTTCCTCCTTTTGTATGTGAGTCACCACCACAGCATGGCCACTGACAGACGAGTGGCGTAGGTTTGCACCCCAGAACGGAACCCGGGCTACCGAAGCGGAGTATGAAGATCTTTAACCACTAGGCCCCTGGGGCTGGCCCTATTGTTTATTTTTATTTTCCACGACCACGACTGTATTAGTCTGCTCAGGCTGCAGTAACCAAATACCACAGACTGGGCGGCTCACACAACAGACATTTATTTTCTCACAGTTCTGGAGGCTGGAAGTCCAAGATCGAGGTGTGGGCAGGGTCGGTTTCTCCCGAGGCCTCTCCCCTCGGCTTGCAGGCGGCTGCCTTCTTGCTGTGTCCTCACGTGGCCTTCCCTCTGTGCACGTGCATCCCTGCGGTCTCTCTCTGCGTCCTCATCGCCTCTCTTTGGAAGGACCCCAGCCAGGCTGGAGTAGGGCCGCCCCACAGCCTCATTTTAACTCACCTCTTTAAAGGCCCTGTCTCTGAATATAGTCACATGCGGAGTCCTGGGGGCTAGGTCTTCACCATATGAAATGGGAGGACATGGGCTCAGCCACCACCAGCTCCACCACCATCAGCTGCAGCCTCAGGAAGCTCCTGCACCCACCGTCTCTGAGGTACAGAGACCACGGTGTCAGGTACACGTTCTCCTCTGAAGGACCAACACCGTTCACATGGAGAAAACTGCTTCGACTATGATTTCAAGGGTTAAGCGTCTGGTGCTTACAGGGTTCGCTTCAGTTAGCTGGAAAGCTGGGGTCCTGGATGCCTGAGTGCATTTGCTGGTTACGGGCCAGCGGGCATCATCCCTGGCCTTACTCTCCCAGGCTCCCCTCACAGGGGCCCTTTGAAAACCTCCCGCACTCAGGATCCAGGATGTGCTTCTCAGAGAAAGAGAATGTGGTGCCTCGCTCGCTCCTCCCAGCTGCAGGGCCGGGCTGCGGGTGGAACTGGTGCACTTGGTGGGAAATGCAAATGAATTCCACTAAGGCCCTGGCCTGCCTCTGAAAGGGAAGTACAATCATGGCTCAACTTGAAATAGAGAAGTGGGTGGCTCCATGCCTCTGAGGCTTCCAGGAAAAAGCCATTCTGCATGTACATAACAAAGAAGTCCAAGCAAACTGAGCACACTGACCGGTCTGCCTGGAAAACGGGGAGGAGCGAGTTCCCAGGGACCAGGCAGACAGTCCATGCGACCCGTGCACTCAGGAGCCCCTGTGGCAGGAAGCCCCGCGTGGCCTCCTCCCCTCACCTGATTAGGTCACATCACCCCACAGAGCTTGTCGCAGTCCACCTCAGCAGATGATGACAGAACCACTTGTCACTGTTTTCGTGAGGCCCACCGCGCAGGGCCTCTGTCTACCCCTGTTCTCTCAGGTGCATCCCCAGGGCGTGGAACAGGCAGCAATTCCACAGACGGCTGACGAACGAGCAAACGGACCAGCCACACGGGAGGCACCAGCATTGGGAGTCACGAGAACCATAAGCAAGTGCCAGCTCAGGATACCGGCACCGAAAATCACGTAGGGCTTCACCGTACGAAAACATCCCAGTGTTGAAATCTGACAAACCTGGGTTCACACCCAGCCTCTACAACAGATGAGCTGGGTGCCCGGGTGAGAGACAGAGGCTCTCTGAATCTGTTTCCTCGTGTGTCAAATGAGGGTGATATTTATCTCGATTTCATTAAGATGAAATGAGATGACCTAGATCACGGCGTGGCCCATGGCGGGGGCCCCAAAATTGTAGCTAGTATTAATATTTTTATACAACACTGTGTTCCTCACAAGACCCCTCATAAAAGACTCCAAAAAGTGAGGGATGCTCGGGGTGTGGGCCACGGGCATTCACACGTGGTCTGGAGGAGAGCAGTCTGGGATGGTGGCTACCGAGGGGAATTTGACAACATCTACCAAAATGACAAAGGCTGCTCCCCATGACCCAGCAATTCTACTTCCAGGAAACCCACTCTGGGCACGTCAAGGGACTTATGTAACAGGGTTTCCACTGCGGCCTTCTCTGTAACAGCAACGGCTGGAAATACCCTCACGATCGGCAGCGGAGGACTGGCTGTCTATGCCATGGCCTCCCATCCCCTGGGGTCCCACGCGGCTCGAAGAAAGAAGGGGGACTCTCTACACCGAGCGGGGTGCTCTCCAGGGGACGGCCTGAGCGAAAGGAAGGCTAAACGCAGAACTGCGTGTATATTATGCTACCACCTACGTAAAAAAGATGAAAAAGAGCATTTCCATATTTCATCACATGTGCGTAATGTCCTTCTGGAAGAACAAACCAGAAGCTCACAACACTGGCTCCCCGGGAAGGAGGCGGGGTGCCAGGGACACAGGGAAGAGCTTTCTCTATAGACCTTTCTGTACCTTTTGAATTTTGAATTTTGAAACATGAAAATGTATTACTTATTCAAATACGTGAAGGCGACAGTGGCCCTCTTCCTCCCCCCCCGCACCAAAAAAAAAGAAGACAAAAAGTAAAGGTCACAGGATTTGTTCAAAGTCACTCAGCTGTTTGGAACAAGTCAGGATTCAAACCCAGGTTCTGAGCCCCAGGGCGGAGCTCCATCAATTACAGCCCATTCATTCATTCATTCATTCAACACAAATTTACTTATTCAGGACTTACTGACAACAGGAGCTGCTTGTGCAAGGACATATGGGCCTGAAAATAAACCCCAGTAAGAAAAGACGAAAAGAGGAGCCAGTTCCTTTCCTTTTTTGCCCCGTGCAGCACACGCTGGCCAGGAGGCCCAGCCCCGGAGCATGGCAGGGCGTGGGCAGGGCCGGCCCAGGCTGAGGGAGGCAGCCACTGCTCAGTCCAACCTGGTTTCTGCCATCTCAGGAGACAAGCCCAGTTTTCCCAGATCTAAGAGAAGTCAAAAATCCAGATTTTAAAAAATGTGGCATCACCTGATTTGTAAGTGTTGGCAACTTAATTCATCAGGCCGACTAGCACTTTAGGGGGCTAACATATAGGTTTGTGACCTTTATTTTATCCCATCCCAGCTATGACCACCAGAC